AGAACAGCATGATTGCAAAATTTTATCACTTATCAGGATGCTTTTGATGCAGAAGGAACTTGTCTGCTTCTAGTGCCCCATTTGTCACTTGGCATAACTTGGACACAACTATTCTCTACGAGCTGCTAAGATGCAGAGGATCCTTCCATCATTTACATGTGGTTTGAAAATCAAGGTCTTTATTTTTTTTCCTTGAATGGGTATGCACAATAGTCACAAACCTACTTCAAAGAGAACAGTCAAATGACACATGAATGAAGTCCTTTGGGAAAAAGGAAACTGTCCAATCCTGGTCTGTGATACCCTGAGACCTAGTTCATTCAGGGAACTGGAAGATCTTATCTCAGACTGATACAACATCTAAACAAATGTGCCCTGTATATTTTTTCTTCTCGAACTTTCCTTGTTGCATGCAAGAATGAGCTGAGATAGTAAAGAGGTCACAAGTAGGTGGGCAAGCAGTCCTTCAAAGACCCTAATGCTTGGGGGTCCTGCCTAGGCAAAGGATGACACAAGGAAGGCAACAAAGACACCAGCTCTGCACAGGTGCTGCACTTGGGAGGTCTGAGAGGGTTGGGCTTATAGGAGGCTTCTTGTATGAAATTTTTTTGCCTTTGCTTAGGTGGACGTTAAAAACAATTTTTTTTTTCTTTCTTTTCTTTCAACTGCAGTGTTGTTGATGGGAAAACACAAGTAACTTAACAAACAAAAAGGAAGCTCTTTTACGAGGGTGAGTTCCTTGGAATAGCGTGCTCCCAGGTCTCACATTTTATGCTCTACACTTGAACCTACAGGCAGTTCAACTTCAGATATAGCTACAGAAGCAGTGTGCTCTTAGGTTTTAGTATTACAAGATCAAGTACAGCTTGTGGTATTGCACACACTTACAAATTAGTTCCTCTATGCAATGAAACTCAACTGGATAGAGAAAATTAAAGAGAATCTCTAACAGTAATCATTAGATATTTAGTTGAAGATGGAACCTTGGAGTTCTTATACACAGCTCACTTCAATGACTTCTGGCTGGAATTAATCTAACTTCCACATATCTCAATGCTTTCTCACCATCCCTTGTGTGAAAAACTAGGATAAATAGTCTATGTGCCTCTCACTTTCTAGAAGGCTGACCTCACCTATCTTTCATATCAGTTAGTACATTTCAATTCATTGAACCAATTTACTTCAGTGTTACACTAAGGGTGGGAAACCTTGTGTTTTCTGTTAGACGAGCACTCTGCTCTGAGGTTGTACTACAACTGCTCACTTCAGAAACTCCTTCCTTGTTCAGAGATGAAAACAAGTGCCTCCTCCTCTGGCATGATTTTGGACAGATTTGCTGAAATGGCTAATCCACTCAAGAGATTCTGACCAGCAGGTGGCCAGGGTAGCACAGTTAAAAGCTCCCTCCCCTGACCTGCACCCAACACTGAGATCCCCACTTTAATCCTAGGGCATGCTTGGGTAGAAGCAGGAATGTGGGGCTATTAGCCGACTAGACCTCCAGATAGATGAGACTCATTGATCTGGACACAGACCGAGGAACAGAAATGCAGACACATTGTGCCAGCTGAACATAAGTAGACTAAAATTACAGGGGAGAAAAGATGGAGCAGGGTGTATGTGGTTTCTCCTCTTTCCCCCCATTTTAATAGTTCTAGGACCTCCCCCTCAAAGCAAGATGATATGATTTCTAAATTTTGAAACTCTACCTATTGGCAGGAGGCGTACCAGTTGCTGGTTGCAAATTTGAAGAATGCTGGCTTGTAAGAAGGCAGTATTGCCTTAGAGTTACAGTGTGGGGAATTTATTCAAAGCCAACAAACGCTTGTTGCTTGGTATGGTTCAATTACTGTGCTGGGCATGAAAATAAAAAATGAGAAAACAGATTCTGCCTTCAAGGAGCTTTCTGTTTAGTGGGACTGACACAGGTAAACATGTTCAATGCCATATTACAGATGGGTGTCCTCAGGGGGCTTTGCAAACAGAGTGTAACACAACTGGGTCAGAGGAGGGCCCTGCAGGGAGAAGGCGAGACTGGAACAGTGTCTTGGAGGGTGAGGAAGGGAAAGCCAGGTCAAAGGGAACCGAAAGGATCTAAGCCACTGGAAACTGAGAAAGTGAAAGGAAATGCAGTGAGGTGTTGGGAATACCCTCTGTGATTCAGTTCAGCTCGGGAGAGGCTAAGTGGGAAGGCAGGGAGTGGAGGGAGACAGGACTGCAGAAGGCTGCAAGTGCTCCAGGCACCTTTCTTTCTGAGAGGCAGTAGATTTTTTTTTAATTAATTAATTATTTATTTATTTATTAAATGACAGCTGTATACATTAATGCAAGCATGGGGTACAGTGTAGTGTTTTCATATACAATTTGAAATATTTTCATCAAACTGGTTAACGAGGCAGCAGATTTTTAACAGTCAAGTGACATAGAGGTATACATTTTACCCAAATCTCTCTGCCTACAGTCAGGGAAAATGTCTTAGAGAGGTGAGACTAGATAGGGCAATTAGGTGGCTGCTATAATGACCTAGATGAAAGATGACAGGGATTAAATTAGGCCATGGTAAGAGGAACCGAGGGGAAGAGGGGATTACAGAAATAATCAGGAGGGAAAGTGGAAGGATTTGAGTGACTATTTGTGCATGAGAGACGAAGGACAGAGGGAGCTGGGGGAGCCCAGTGGCTTGGGAGCCTGGGTGATGGACACCGGCTTCTCTGACGGAGGTGGCAACAGCAGAAGAGGAGTGGGATGTGGTGGGAAGGGACTAAGGGGGCAGACTAGTTCTGGAGAAGATGACTGTAGGTGACTGAGGCCAGGCAGCCAGAGACTAGGGGAAAAGCCACAATGAGATGAGTATATGAGAGTCACCTGGATACGGGCAGCAGCTGAGACCTTGAAAGTGGCAGAAATCTATCAGAATCATGAGTCAAAAATGGAATTCAGGGGAACACCAACAGTTCAGAGCAGAGAGGAAAAACAAGTGCAAAAGGAAAAGGAATTAGCACAGGATGGAAAGGAAACGGGACAGGCTTAATAGAAGTCGGGGGCACATTTCAAGGATGAGTGAGGGACCAGAGTACCAAATACACACAGCAGATGGAGGATTCAAAGAGATGGGGAAGTCTGCAGAGGGAATAATCTCAAGGTGAGCATTATAGGCTGAACTGTCTCTGTAGCCACCTGCTTCCTCCACAAAAAGAGCTGTCTAGAGTCCTAACAGGGGGCTCAGAACTTTATTTAGAGAGAGGATCTGCACAGTTGAGGTGAAGTCATCACAGTGGGTCCTAATCCATTAGGACTGGTGTTCTCATAAGCAGTGGGGATTTGGACACAGAGACAGCTGGGCTGAGAGGGAAGATGGTGTGAAGAAATGTGGGGAGAAGACAGTCACCCAAGTCAAGGACGGAAGTCTAGATTGGACGTGTCCCTCACAAGGGACCAACTTGCCAACACCGTGGTCTTGGGCTTCTGGCCTCTGGAATTCTTAGACACTAAATGTCTGTTGTTTAAGCCACTCAGTTTGCGGTACCTTGTTTTGGTCACCCTAACAAACTAATGCAGTAAGTCTACAGAGAGGAATTTTAGTTGCACCCCAGGAGAAGATCTCAGATTGGAGAGAGCTCAGGGGTGAATGGGAAGCCAGGAGGTAAGCCCCACACTTTTTAAAAGTTTACATAGAAGGAGCTAGATGAGAAGAGTGCTTAATTTCGCTCTGAGATTGCAAAGACTTAGATGATTTCACACAAATGGCTAGAAAATTTCTAGACAATTTTTGGCATAAAGTACTTCACAGTTTTGCTTACTAAATTCTGTGATTTAAAAAATGTCTATTGCAGTCCTGTCCATGAGTTTTGTTCCTAATCTTGTTTGATACATTTTCTTACCAATTAGTCTTGCTAGATACATTATTTTGTTAATTGAAAATGTTAAGATTTTGGCGTTGTTGAAAAACAAGATTGAAATTATTAAGAGAGGGAGGCAATCACTGGCAGAGCAAGGCGCTGCAGGGCTGTGATCTCAAGGACAGCCCTGAAACCCTCATCCTGAAGATTTTAAGGCAGGAAGAGAGATAAGACTGGATGTCGGTGTGGGTCTCCTTGTTGGGAGGAGGTTGATGGCATTTCTACCTGGTGATCTCACTTTTATTCCTCAAGTAGGAAGTGAAGTCATCTTGGAGTTAGGCAGGGTGGTTAGGCAGGGGACTGAGCAGTCTAGTGACAACTGAGCACGGCTGCCAGGGAGGGGTGAGGAGGTGGAGTGACCTAGCTGTGCTGAGGTTAAGCTGTAGACAGTTAATCTGTGGTGGTGTCAACCTCTCCCTGCCTGGAGGTAATAGGTGTGGTGAAGGTGGATTGCTGTAGAATTAATCCCGGTGCAGTGTTCTGCCAGGCAGGGTAGCCAAGGGATAGGGTACAAGAAAACACAGGATGCCACTGTAAAAATGGTTTTAGTGCTCAGAAACGGAGGCCAGACTTGGTAGGGACAAGAGACAAGTAAGGAAAGACCAATAAGCAAAGGAAAAGTTCCCTCTGTATTTCATTCAGATCTCACTCATGGGAATGAGGTGAGTGTGGCCCCAGGATGGATGGTGTGGTCTTCTGGATAATGATAACACAAGGTACAGTGATGGGGAGAAGTGGCTAAAGTGGAACGGACATACAGGCCACCCTGGGCAGGAAAGGCACCACATTCCACAGCGATGTGACTGAATCACAGGAGGTTTATTGAGGATGGAGATGAGGTAGATTAGAAGAAGGTGAAGCGGACTGTGTGATAATTTACAAATCAAACCATTCCTTACTATTGGGTCTGCTTCCATTAATATTTAAGCATCAAATAACCAGGGAGAGATGAACTTTGGGGTCCTACTTGTAGACTCAAAGAAAGAAATTTGAAAGCACAAAACGAAGGTTTTTTGTTCTTCATGAAAGAACCATCAAGTGTTAAAGTTATACTCACATTACATAAAAGATTATTGTTAAAACTGTAGACAAACAACGTACCAGAAACTCCTGGTGGTGTCTTAATGAATTTTCCATTAAAATGACCAATAACTGCTTCGCATTTTTCGGTTGATTCCATCCTATTTATACATAAAAATAGAACACATAAACGTTTAGAGGTTTCCTAGCTTTCGTTTTGTTCTGTGCATGTGGAAACATTCTTACATGTGTTTTTGTAAGAAACCTTATGTGAATATGATAAAGAAAAAAAGATTTATACTTCATCTAACTGTTGCTTTTGTATTTCTATAGTAAAATAATTGAAGAGCAGAGAATAGTAAGAATCATAAAAGAATTAATTATATCTGGAGTGTTTAATACCGAGTAGATCAAATGTATAATTTTATTCAAATTGTTGGAAAACTGAAAATCAATACACAATAGCTTTGTTAACCACAGTACTAAAATAAAAACAGACACAGTGCTTTAGAGTACTACTAGTGTGTCTGCTACTTTTATTTATTTATTTTTATTTATTTATTTTATTGAATGGTAACTATGTACATTAATGCACTTCTGGGGTACAGTGTGGGGTTTTCACATGCAATCTGAAATACTTCCATCAAACTGGTCAACACAGCCTTCATGTCATTTTCTCAGTTATTGCTTTAAAATGTTCACATTCTACTCTTAGCAAGATTCACCTGTACCCCTATAAGACAAACCTCATATTAAAGATTGTGTGTCTGCTACTTGCTGGAATATTGGTCGTTTTCAACGTGGTCTTTCACAAATTCACAAAATGATGGACTCAAAAGTCATGATAACAACCAGTGCCAGAGGATGTGCCTGGGATGATTTTTATCTTCTTTTCAAGTTTAAAATTAAATTACTGAAGTCAATTATCTACCTTCTTTGTCATCTTTGGCTTGAAGGAGTAATTAAAAGCTGGAGCTTAATTTTGTAACATCTATTTACAGGTGGCATAAACACTTGAGAAACATTTCTGGAAACTTAAACTACTTGGACTTATTCTTCTTTAATGGAAGACACATATTGAATAGTTTACTCGAAATGTGCTACCTTCCTCAACTACCCAGACAGTTGCACCTCAGTTTTAATGGATAGCAATAGTTTAAAGAAAAAAGGATTTAACTGAGCTCCATCTTCGGATACAGGAGTGATGCTCCTTGATCAGAACACAGCAGAGGCGACAAGATGATGCTGAGCCATTCAGGGTCCCACCTGGATTACGTTAATCAGTGCAGTGTACACCGCACATGCTGCCCTTGGTGACTTACTACCTGTTGGACGTTTCCGTTTTATTATAAAATTATCTGACCCAATAGAACAATGGATTAAAGGCCAGATGAATCAAATACTAGCCCTTGCTTCATTACTTGGCAGCGAGGTGACAAAAGTCCTTTTTGTGCCTCAGTTTTCTCATATGTAAAATAACATATAATAATCCTCTACTGATACAAGTCTATGCTTTGGGGTGATCGTCATTTGTTTATCACAGAAAAATGTCAGCAATTTTTCCTCCAAAGGCCCAGGCAATACTTTAAAATATGTACACATTATCTGTTACTACACAGTATTAATAAGTTTCTAAATCAGGGGTCCTCAAACTTTTTAAACAGGGGGCCAGTTCACTGCCCTTCAGACCATTGGAGGGCTGGACTGTGGGCTCTGGGACAAGTCGGCTGCTAAGCAGGACAGGCAGCAGCAGCAAAAATACCCCGCGGGCTGGATATATGTCCTCAGCGCCGCATGTGGCCCACGGGCCGTAGTTTGAGGACGCCTGTTCTAAATAATGCATCACATAAAAATTACCTTTGTGCATGAGATTTTGGATTAGAATTTTGCTAAAAAAAAAAAAACAAAACAAAGCCCTTTCTCTCGTTCTGTTTAATATTTCTCCTTTAGAAAATTAGCTATATTATAGCAAAAAGATTTTACTTCTCAAAAAAACTCAAGCAAAAATTATAAAATGTTTGTTAAATTTGTGTAGTGTTAGGTGTTATATCCTTACACTTTTTCTGAATGTTTTTAATATTTCATTTAAAAACCTGACTTATTTCATTGAAAATGAATCAAATGTCTAATGATAAAAATAATCATACTGATTTATCCTGGAGTTTAGGAGATGGACTGTTATTTTTTAATCAAAATATTAAGGACAAACACTTTTAGAAATTCTGCTCATCTGGCAGTTCCTTGCCATGAGCCACCAAATATAGTGAGCTCAGGTTCAAGGATCTTAACGAACTTGTAAAAGATCAGGGGAAATACAGACCAATATTTATAGGTAATTTAAGTTCTAGGTGCCACTGGCCCCCATAACTCCGGCCTAACTCCTCTCTTTTTGGTTATTTTTAATTTTCCAAGATAACTAAGCAGAGATAAAAAAGATAGGGCAGGGTGCTTACCTAGCAAAGCCGACACCACGACTTGTGCCATTGGAATCACGTAGTATCCTTGTAGAAATAACTTGTCCATACGGTTTGAGCATATTTTCAAGTTCTTGCTCATCCATGGACAGTGGCAAATTAGAAATATACAGGTTGGTGGGATCTTGTTCCTGTTGCTAAAAGAGAAGAGAGTACTGTCTGTTAATTTTCAAGAGAAAGTGAGATATTTACATTAACACACCTATTTTTATTTAGCTACTTCCTTTGCTCAAGTCCTTTTAAAGTACTGCCCAGTGAGACCATGGGTACTACAGAAAACCCAGGTCACCTTGGACACTTGAAAAGAGTATCTGGGGCTTGGACAATCTGTGCAGGTCAGACATGACCCTATCAAGCCAACCTTAGCAGATTTGGAAATGGCACTGCTGGCAGGTACTACCAAATTGGAGAGGACGCCCTCATGGAACTGCAACTCTCAGCTGTTCGCAGTGCCTCCCAAAATAACCAATCTCTCTCCTCCACTGCTATTTTTAGGAGCCCATTTCAGGCACAATATTGCACAGGAAACTATTACTGCTAATAATTCAATTTAGAGATGTAAAAATAAGAATTCTGGACCAAGTCATTGAACGCCCATTGGGGGCTTTGCCCAAATGCTCTGCTGTACGGCAAAATTCATCTACTTTTTGGGTCGTGATCACCAATGGGAAAAAGAAAGTTTTTAAATTAACCCAAACAAAAAATCTCAAAGCCATATAAAATGGTCAATCTAAGGAGAGCAATTTTGGAATCTTGGAAAAGCTGAACAAAGGGGTGTGGGGTGGGTAGGTTTGCATAATCATTGCTAAGAGTGATCCAGGAGCCAGCAGTAAGGAACCACATGGGAGGTTACAAATGCAGATTTTTGTGCCTACCTCAGACCTACTGAATCTTAAGCAACATTTTTACAAGACCCCCAGGTAATTCACATGCAATTGAAAGTTTGAGAAGCAATGCTCTGAGACCATTTCCCACCCCCTCTTCCTTTGCTGAAGTTAACCAAAGATACACAATTGAATTTTCTGAGAAGCAGTAACCACTATGTATATTTATGAAGAGTGTGGCTTTCAAATCATCAGGGAAAAAAAAGACTTACATGACAACTGGAATATTTTCTGACTAAGTCAAAATTAGCTCTGTAATTTGTGAAATTAGTATAGCCTTATGAATTTAAAACCAGCCTTTCCTTTGATCCTATTCACCAACTATTTATTTACATACTGAAGCACATGAGAGCTTATGATTTTTCTCTAATAGGCACTATTAATAAAGTCATTAATTGATGTTTTAGCTTTAGGAAACAGAATAGCACACTCATAACTCTCTGGATTTCTGAAATGCATACTAGTTTTAAAAATATATGTAAAGCATTATGCATGTTTGAATTTGCACAAAGTCTCTACTTATGAACATATTAGCATTACTTAGGCCTGAAAAGAAACTTTTTCTTTTATGTGATCTGTAAGAAAAAGTGGGCACTGACCTTTCTTCCTATCTTACCTATCTGGTAAGATTTCAAATGACAATATGGCATTCTAGGGAATGGCCTTCCTAGGACTGAAGGATGGGTAGCATGGCACTTGTAGGGATACTAAGAATACAAGAGATTCCTAGGAAGAATTAAAGTTACCAAACACCAAGAAACTATGGACAAAAAGTACTGTCCCTACAACCTCCAGGTCTTGACACCAAGGAAGCATGTAGCCAGGCAAGTCCCACAGAAACAGAGCAGTAGCTCTTGACTTAGATGCCTTGACTCTCAGGGTGTGCCGTGTGGGTGGGGTCAAAAAACAGTTAAAATTTTTCAAATGATCAACAGCAATCTGAACACTTACCCTTATTAACCCTTTACAGCAGTGATTCTGAACCTTTGGGTCATGACCCCTTTTTAACAACGAAAATACACTGTGGCATTAGGAAGGCTGAGAACCACTGCTTGAAGGCTAAACAAAATAGCGACTCATTTAGCTAATATTAGGTTAATTCAGTGTGCTACCACTGATGAACTTTTTGGCGCAAAACCTATTGACATTGACAATTACACAAAGAATATCTTTAATGTTTAAAAACTGGAAAGTGATTTGCTTAATGAACATAGGACAATAATAGATACAATGTTCCAAAATGCAGGGAAAGCAATAAAAATGGTCTTTGATATTAAAGTTTTCAAACTCTTCTGTTTGAAGAGGTGGAGTAAAAAGTAAAATTTTATCCCCTGGTTTCCATCTCACTTGACACCTTCACCACCTACAACCAATTAATCACACAGTTGTTCAAGAAGCCATCTCACCTGGGTCCAAACCGCCCATGTCTCTGAAGCTTTCCTCAAGTGAAAGACTGTATTTGTTACCATGGAAGTCTGGCCTGAACCAGCCAACATAAGAGCCCCTTTTCCTAAAGTTGGGCCTCTAAAGGACACTTCTAGTGCATTGCCAACATGCCAGACTCTCAATAAAATAACTCTGGCTCTAGTCCTGCCTCCTGGTAGCTTGTAATAAGTAGGTGCAACAGAAACACGAAATGTTTGTTATAATAAGTACGTGCAACAGAAACATGAAATGAATGCTATAACAGAGGTGTGTATGAACCATAAGAGGACAGACAGGGAGCTTGTGTTAGGGAGACTAAGGAACACTTTTGTTCAGAGGACATCACATTGAGTAGGGACTAGAACAAGCACAGATCAAGAGGCTAAAATCAGACTGAAGAGGTAAGAGGTTAGAGGTTGTCAGTCACTGCTGCTTAAACATCTCTGCTTAAGCACTGCTAACAGCAAGGAGAATGACTACACTTCTAGAACAGTCTATAAGCAAGCAGCCTTGTCAGAAATGCAAAATTTCCTTGAAGTCCAGTACTTTGTCTTTATTTTATTTATTTATTTATTTTTTGAGGCAGGGTCTCACTATGCCACCCTTGGTAGAGTACTGTGGTGTCACAGCTCACAGCAACCTCAAACTCTTGGGCTTAAGTGATTCTCTTGCCTTAGCCTCCCACGTAGGCTGGGACTACAGGTGCCTGCCACAATGCCTGGCTATTTTTTTTTTGTTGCAGTAGCCATTGTTGTTTAGCTGGCCCGGGGCCAGGTTCAAAACCGCCAGCCTCAGTGTATGTGGTTGGTGCTGTAACCACTATGCTATGGGTGCCAACCTATAATGCTTTATCTTTGAAAAAGAAAAAAAAAAAGATTTTGCAATCCACTTTGTAACTATCTGAGTTTGTTTTGATAGAGAAATAATATTTCTGACCTAATTTTATCAAGGAACACTGATACTCCAGCAAGATAAGCCATGCTTATCTTGTGATTTCACATTCTCTGTCAGGTGCTGCATTAATGCGTTTTGGCCAACAATTTCCTACCGCCTGGTGATGTCTTGAAGATCCTGACCCCGTGTAGCCCTAGGTTAATGTGTATGTTTGTGTCTTAGTTTTAAACAAAAACACTTAAAAGTAAATAAATAAATAAAATAACCTAATGTTATTACAACAGAGTAAAAAATTTAAAAAAGACTAAAAACATTTATAAAGCAAAAATGTTACCGTAAGCTAAAGTCAATTTGTTACTGCAGAAAAACAATTCTTGCAAGTTTAGTGTAGTCAAGGTGTACAGTGTTTATAAACTCCAGCAGTGTCCAGTACTGTGAAACTCAAGGCCTTCACCTTCACTCACCACTCACTCACTGATCACTCAGAGCCAACTTCTAGTCCTGCAAGCTCCGCTCACAGTAAACGGCTTGTCAATCTTTCCTACTGTATTTGTAACAGACCTTTCTCATGTTTAGATACACAAATACCATTGTTGTACAATTGTCTGCAGTATTCAGCACAGTAACATGCTATACTGGTTTGTAGCCTAGGAGAACAGGCCAGACCATACAGCCCAGGCGTGTAGTAGGCTATACTCCCTAGGTTTGTGTAAGTGCCACACTGTGATGTTCACATAGCATCACTACCTAACGCAGCGGTTCTCAACCTGTGGGTCGCGACCCCTTTTTAACAATGAAAATACACTGTGGCATAAGGAAGGCTGAGAACCACTGACCTAAAGGGATGTATCCCAGAATTCATCCCAGACATGAAGTGACACGTGACTGTCCTTCGGCAGGTCAGGGGGCTATAGGAGTAAGGAGAAACAGCAACTTTGAAAAACAGGGAGGTTTTGGAGGCACAGAAGCAGGGGAGTGATATGACTCACCTGCCTCCTAATAAAGGGCCTTAAAACACTCCTTGGACAAAGACATGGCATAGAGAAATGTTACATAAGAAATATATACCAAAATATTATACATTTTCTTTTAAAATTACAATTATGAAAATCTACATGACTTATATTTAAGAATGCTCAAGGGAGAATTTGCTCTACATGGAGAATTTTTAGAAGTAGGTTGACAATGTAGTGCTAAGTACTTCTAAATCTATCTTTCAGTTGCTTCTATTATTGAAATATTAATAAAAATATCACACACATTTTAAGGTCTTTTTTTTCTTTTTGAGACAGATCTCACTCTCACCTAGGCTGGATGTAGTAGCCTGACCATAGCTCCCTGCAACTGTGAACTCCTGGGCTTAAGTGATTTTCTCCACTGCCCAAGTAGCTGGGACTATAGGCATACATCTTCACGCCCAGCTAATTTTTAAATTTTTTGTAGGGACAGGGTCATGTTATGTTGCCCAGGCTGGTCTCAAAGCCCTGGCCTTCAGTGATCATCCTGTCTCAGCCTCCCAAAGTGGTGGAATTATAGGCATGAATCACTGTGTCTGGCCATGCTGTAAAGCAGGGGTCCTCAAACTTTTTAAACAGGGGGCCAGTTCACTGTCCCTCAGACCATTGGAGGGCTGGACTGCAGGCCCCAGGACAATTCAGATGCTAAGCAGGACAGGCAGCGGAGGCAAAAACACCCGGTGGGCCCCATAAATGTCCTAGGCGGGCTGCATGTGGCCCGAGGTCTGTAGTTTTAGGACGTCTGCTGTAAAGTCTTGATTCAACTTAAAAGTTTGTCAATAAAGAAATAATAGAAAAAGATTAAAAACTAGAACAGAGGAAGAAATTGGGCTCTTAACCCATTACTTGACATAGTGATACAGAATAAATATAGATAAATATTTCCTGTGATATTAATATGTTTTCAAAATAAATGAC